CACGTCCATACCTGTCCGATCGACAGACAAGTGTAGGAATGATTTTCGCCTAACAGCCGGATGCATTTGGGCTTGAAATAATACTGTAATTGAAACACTCGCTCCACCTGTAGCTGTTACGATCAATTTTCCATTTTAGCGACATGCGGTATGTGTTGTTATCATGATACTGGGCCATTGACTTAGCCACACTTAGAATGCAGTGAAATAAAATATTTGGCCGGTTTTAACGCGCGTATAAACACTCGGAATGAGGGTGCGAGCCCAACTTATCGAGGTGCTTATATTTTTATTTTATTTCTTACTTCCTCGTATGCTGAACAGAAAAGTTCTTAAGCTTGCCGCAGTTGTGCACTAAGTAGCTTATATACGTACAAGGGTGGGTGTCTGTACTCTCTCTCCTTTGATAACAAACGCCAACTACTCTGATGGACAATAAAAACGTCGGATTTACGCGTTATTATGAGCTGGGCGCTCGGTTTACGACTCTGCCCACCTATTACTCGTAGCTATGGGTATACGTCTAGGTAGTTGGTAAGATCGTTTTTTTTTTCCTTTATTCGGGCTCCTTAAATAACGGCTGCTAAACTTTTGTCACCTGTTTTATTGTCCGAGAAGTGCGTGAGTGCAACATTGTAAGCAAGCAAGTTATTGACCGTTGCTTGATTCGTATTTTTGAGGGATCAAAAGAGTAATTTAAGGCTTGTACGAAATATTTACGTGACATGTGTAGATTACTTTATATATAAGTACCTAATGATTTGCATTTCGACGAGTTTCAGCTGAGATCAAAAGTTCTCAGCCATTTTAGTCATTTGAAGAAAAAAATACGTTTTTTTACCATAACTTTACAAATTCATATGTGGCACACATATATATTTTTGTTCCATACGTTCCTTCAAGAAATCCATTAGAGGTTTTAAATCTAACGAATCACTAAAAGCAGGGAAATAAATAATGACCATATAAGTGTTTGGTACTTAAAATCTTACTTTTTATTGACAAAAACCATTATTGAAAACGATAAAAAATTAAAGAAAAATGAAATGTGTTTTAATGAAGCCTACAGTTTTTTTCAACACAGAATATTATGTCAAACTTGTAGATCCAAATGATTTTCCTTGTAATATTTTTTCATAAGAGATCAAAATGTCAATTTGGTTCAAATACTAATTCAACTGGTGAAATATTGTTTGATGTAGAAAATAGCTACCACAAGTTGGTATTGATTCTCAGTAACTAATTTTTAGGAGTACAAATTTTGATAAATGTCTTACTGCAGCCGAAAACTGCAATAATTATTCGATCGATTTTTTTAACTGATCGGACACGAACTTTTCATCTGCCGGTACTCCTGATATATTTATGGCCCTTTCGCCACCGTTCCACATAGATCCCGCGAAATGTTATTTCGGTCGACAAATCATGCAAGCTCCTGGTTAATTTACTCGGTTTCACGTTTTTTTTCTTTTTTTTTCAACACAGACGTAGTAAGTATATTAACAGGAAGGGTGCGATAAATCAAATGTTTTATTGATAGTAAAAGTTACATTCAAACTATGTGGTAATTAAATGACGTTTGTAATATCGGTACAATCTTATTTTTTTCGCTACAAATCAAAGCAACAGGTGTTTCGGAAATGTTTCATTACGTTGATGTAATATTAAAAATTTGCGCATTACCCAGTTGCAACTTTATTCACCACATCTGCGGCTCATGTGAAATGCGATGAATAAAAAATGATAAGTTACGCGATGCGTAATAGATACGCCGCCGTATCGTACACCCCATTCCGTATATTTCGTATTTTTATTTTTTCTTTCGCGTGAAATTTAATACTTGTCAAATGCACCCAACAACGTGATATCAATGATGCGAACGACTCGCGAATAAAGTGCGCTAAGTTTATCTTCAACTGCACGCGCGAGATCGTCGAAAAGCGCGGCAGGGTTACATACCTTGGCTTTATTCCAGATTCCAAAAATAATTCACAAACGCGACTGTACCCCTCCCCCTGTCCCGTTTTTTTTCCCCCAAGACCGCAATAAATACGTTCATGGTATTCTTTTTAGCAATTGTTAGTAAAGCAGGTGCGAAATCTTTAAATGCGCGTTGTAGCATGTTATGGAAAATTGTAATTTAAATGAGCGAGGGATCGATTCCTTTTTCGCCAAAAGTCAGCCAGTTTATTATATATTGTGCAATACTAACAGAAAGCATGCTAATTTATTAGAGCTTCGTCTTGGCTTTATTCATCATTATGCAAATAACGCCGAAAAAGATTAAAACAGTGGCCCGACATGGACAAAATGAATTACCGAGAAATTTAAATATTCAAATTATCAAATTAGGTAAAAGGAAAAAAAAAAAAAAAAAAAAACAAAGTTTATTCCGTAAAACAATGCGCTCTTTCGACAATGGACTCGAAATTGGCACTGAGGCTAATTAACGTGCATCTTTCCGTATTACCAAGAGCCACGAGGCTTATTTGATTCGAGGGAGCGTATTTTTTTAATTCATAACTCTTTCTGTACTTGTACAATTTTCATTGCTTCAACGTAAAATATCAAACAAGAGCTTCTCCACATCGAGTGAGCTTCAAGCACCTACACGCATAACAACGTACGTATGCTTAAAAAGCGATACGAGAAGGGCACACACAAAAGAGCACTTTACATCTGGACTCGTCAGAGTAAGTATAAAAGCTTCGGGGAAATTTTTAGTAAAAGCTACAGGAACAACAGGGGATTTTGTTCTATTTTACAACCCATTTTGCTTTTAGCCATGAAATTGTTATAAGCTTCGGATTAAGCAAAAAGGAAGGACAAAAAATATCGAAACCCGCTGTCAAGGGCTTCTTCAAAAATGATGCGAGAGAGCTTACGTTTGTCCGACGGAAATTGTTATCTCTGCCTTCTATTAGATTTTTACTTGGAATAGTTTGTGCTTTTTCAATGAAATATCTTGTGGTATGGAATAGTTAAAACGCATTAGTGTTTCTTATGTAACTCGTGAAAAAAAAAGTAGTAGATATGCTCGCTCTTATGGAAGAATTTACGTAACAGCAAAAAAATGCGATATTGCATAAGGGCATGGATGAAGAAGAGAAAGAAAAATAAAGTTGGTCATAAATTAATTTAAGGGCATTGAGCAAAAAAAAAAAAAAAAATACGTACATATGTCAAGGATTTTAAATAAAATTCATATTTTCGAAGCAAGATATTGAGATTGCTGACACGAAAAATACGTTTGACGTAATCATTTCTCAATAAATCTGGAACGAAAATAATTACAATTTAAAAAAAAATTGCATCGAATAACCTAATTTAATCGTGCAATACATGCCAGCCTTTCGAATGCTAATGAGAGCAAATGGGACTAGAGATTGACGCTTACTTCATCGTTAATCAGTTTAAATACTTAATATTCAAATAGTTTTTCCAGCAATGCCAGTGCACGTCGTTCAAGAGATGAATTTGCGACGCATATTGAAATGACTTACCATCGACTGAACATAGAATTTCATTAATTGGCAATCGTACGCCGAAAAATTTCCTGTGAATTTCCTAAAAAAAAAGTAATTGTAAATTAATTAATAACCCACGTACCTATAAATGGTAATCTTACTCTAGAGAGAGAGCACGTCAAAAATATTCGTCACGCAATACAATTTCATTAAAGTCTGAAAAAAAGGATTGTAATAAAAGTTGAAAAAAAATAATTTTCAATTCAAATGTACGTACGGTACAAAACGATACGTGGGTACACGGAAATAAGTTGAATTTCTCGTGAAATGTGTACACGTGGGAAGCAGAAGAAAACGAGCGAATCCAGATAAGCAGAGTAGATAGGGGAGGGTCCCGCGATTTAAAATTCATCGAAAATCCTCGCGGCCGACGTCGATTCCCGGCTGCGGTTTTTACTCCCGGACAATAATTCAAAGCCCTCGGCTCCACGGCGCGCGTGGCTTCTTTTCGAACAAAGAGCAGAGGAGCCGGCGCGGCGGCGGTGTCACGCGCGAAAAATTACCGGGAACACCATATGAATATTTATTCGCCGGTGCTTCCTGCGCGAGCGGCCTCTTTTTCTTACGTGTATATATACGATGTATCCCTTTCTTCGAAGCTTACACCCCCTTTTTTTTCGTCTCGCTCGTTTTCACCCATATACCGCGTATACGATTTTACGTCTTTGATGCAATAGTTATGGGGTTGAAAATTTTCATGGGCAAATAAATAATGCGGATGTTTTTTAAAAGTGTTACTCCTGCATTTCGTGAAATTTGGACGGAACGTAATGGGATGCGGGCTAGCAGCGGCAACGGAGGAGATGCGATTATGCAAATGTTTTGCAAAAAAGGGGCTTTAACGAGGGCGGGCAGGAAGTGTAAGTTTATAAGTTAATTTATACGCCTCGCTGTTTTTAAAAATAATCAAGTTTTTCCTGGGAAACCGCAAATTGTTGTAACGAGCAATTACATTTTGTTCCGCAAAAAATACCTACTTTAAATATATTAATTTAGTAAATAAAACATTAATAAATAATTTCATTGGTATTTAACATTAATTTAATTTATTATTTATTTTAAAATATACTTTTACTTATAATGCACATTTTTATTAATTATATATATATTTTGCATACACGCACGTCAACTTATATAAGCTAGCTTAACTCCAGCTGCACTTGTAGAATGAGATATTGCCGACCACCCGTAAATGTGTTTTTGTACGTATCAATTGTTGATTTACTTTACACGTGGTAATCGTATATAAGTGTAGAGTAAACATTTATAAGTTTGAAAAAAATGGCAAAGTTGTAATAAGCCATACTTATATTTTTTTACATCTTAAGAGCTCAGTCGTGACGTCACACGAATATTATATAAAAAAAAAAAAATTTCATGTGGGATTTAAAATAAAATTATCAGGATAAGTTATGTAAAATTTATTAAATTATGTACAGTTATTGTTAAAATATATATTTATATAAATCTTTGATAAATTATTAAGTATATAATTACGAGAATAAGTAAAATTAAATTAATGCAAACACGTATTTCAATGGGACTCGATGAAAGTTATGACGTTTATCTTGAAAATGGAATCGCTTACTATTACGTTAGTTTTCAAGGCTCATAGCCCATAAATGGATTGCACTCGGTTTCAAGGCGCCTTTTTCAGACGTACACTTTAAGTATGAGTAAACGTTATCGACTTTCAAGTCACGATATCCTGAGAAAATATTCAGAATCTCGCGTTGACTCGAGCGCTATCGTTACTATTCTCGTTAGCTGCCGTTTAAATCTGCAAACTCATTATTATAATCATAGTTCGTATAGTCGATACAGAATTTGAGCGTTCATACAGGCAAGTAAGTATGTACAAATATTTTTTGTTAATCGCAATTTATATAAATTATTTATATAAATAAACTAAATTTACGAAGGCAAGTTTGAATAAAGTGTGAAAACGAATTTACGTGTGGATCCTGTTTGTGTATGATAATTTTACCATAAATTCAATTTTGTAAAATGCAAAAGTTTCAAAGTACACTGAATTTATCTCCTTTAATTGACGGGTTTTGATGATTTTTTCAGGAAATACTGTAACTTCCAGTCGTACATGCGTATTTTGTATACGCAAATCTGAAAGTAAATGCTTATCATTATAATGACACACAGTTGCAGCGTTACGTTAGTATTTATAACATTGGGAGATAAAAATTTAAGGCTACCGAGGAAGGCACTTTTACATTTTAGATTTGCTACAGTTGGAGACAGATTTAAAATTCTACAAATGTGCATCTCTGTGCTTGGACGAAGCGACGATCACTAGAGATACATTATTTGTTGCTTCATCGTCAATTAGTCACTACCAGCACGGGTAAGTATAACATCATCACACAAACATGCATATATTTAATACGTATGGACTTTTCTTTCGAAGCACTGGCTGTAGAGTCCACAGTATGGCAGTATTGTGTTTTTCTTTTTTCTTTTTTTTTCTTTTTTTGTTTGTTTTTTTCAATAACACATAATTTACGAATATCTTCAGTCTCTAACAATCAATAGACTTTGTGTAAACGAGTTTCTCTACGAGAAATACTTACAAGGATAAAAATGATTCAGTGGAGCCAACTCTTTGCAAAAGTTGCGCCCGAAAAATTATTATAATTATTATTATTATTACTATTATTAATATTAATATTATTATGGCCACGTCGTGCGTACAGCATCCTTTGAGTCATTGAAGTTTGGAAGAACAAGATAACGCCGGATAATCCACTGCTTTCGATCGTTCATCCAAATATGGTTGAACTCCCGCGCCTCACTTGTGGTGCATGTGTTGGTGCATCGACATGTGAGCCGAGCTCGCCGTGTAGGTGGGATTTTTGAAAGTCGAGGTGGCCTGTCTGTAGATCGGATTTTCACTCTGTAAGCACAAAAATAATCTTGTTGGCGCGCCGCTGGCAACTAAAGAAAAAAAAAAAAAAAAAAATCCGAGCACAACTCACGGCATCCCATTTGGCCATCATCCTCTCCTTCTCGAACCTCGCGAACTCGTTTCTGTCGTGAATCGTCGTGGCAAGCTTCCAGACGAGCAAAATCGCCAGCCCTATGAGGACCACGGCCATTATGACCCCGAGCACGATGGCCAGCACGTACACCTGAGGCGGACACTCCCGTGCCTTCTGTACCTTGACGTGGAGCTGATTCGTCGTCATGTTGTAGTAGTAGGCAAAGTAGTACTTGCAGTCCTGCTCGTCGTAGCCCCAGCAGCCGGTCTCCTCCTGGTCGACGTCGACCTCGAGGGTCTCGACGATCTCGGGTACAAAGTTGACGCACGTGCTGTTGCACTCCTCCTCGGTCAGGTTCCCCGCCTTGAAGGCTTTGCACAGGACGCAGGGCTTCAGCTCTTCGCAGCGGCTCGGGCACGTGCGGCAGATCTGACAGTACTGACCCGAGTAGCGGTGCTCGCCCTCGATGTTGCACTTGCACTTGCCGCACTCGCACACGCCCTGAGAATAAAAAAAATTTTTTTTTTTTTTTTCATCAAGTACAGCTTAAATATATACTCATGAACGATTTCACAACTGTTACATTGTGAAGAATTCTCTGAACTGTGAAAATACATTATCAAGGACTTTATCTTCTACATATGCCTCAAATAGAGTCCTCTTGATAAAATGTAAGATGGTAAAGAGCGGAAAAAATAAACAATGAGTAAAAGCCACACTCACGTGTCCAGAGCACTCGAGCCCGTGCCTGATGCAAGTGCTCGTGTCGTCGCTGCACTCGCAGGCGTCGCCCTTCCAGCCCTTGTTGCATATACAGGTGCCGCAATTGCACGACCCGTGGCCCGAGCAAATGGTATTGTTTCGCCGATCGCACGAGAAATTGTCGCACTCGCAGTACTGTCCCCATATCATCTGCGAAAATCAATGAAACGTAGTTTGAAAAAAAAAAGCCCTCTTTGCTGTAACAAGGTTGTTTGCGGTGTCCCTCACCTCGGGCTCGTCCCTGCGATTGCAGGCGCAAACGTTGCACTCGCACACGCCCCGGCCGTTGCAGTCGACGTTGGTCGTGTTGTCCCGCCGACAGGCAAACTCGTTGACGAGCATCTGCCGATTGTCGTTGGCTCCGCACTCGCATTTCTTACCAAAGTAGCCGTCGTCGCACATGCACACGCCGCAGCTCAGATCCCCGTGGTTGTTGCACTTTTTCGACTTGTACTCGAAACCCGGCTCGCCGCTGTTCTCGCACTGGCAGTCGCATATCATCTCCAGGTTCACCGTCAAAGACTCGTTTATACCGACCTGTGGGAGAATAACGATCAATCCATCCCTCATCCCGGTCCAAGACGGTGCCAAGGGGGAATCAAAACAATAAAGACGAGGAACAAAAACTCACGGGATAGATGAGGAACTTCTGTTTCCACTCGGAGCGGTTCTTCGGACAGGCGGACATCATGATCTCGGTCGTGAACTCAACCTTGTTCCCCACCTTCAAGCCGTCGCACTTGTTGGTCTCGACGAGGGGGCCCCCTCCAAGGCAGCTGGAAAAGTACTTGATGCCGACGTAGTTGCTGGCAGTGTCCTTCATCTCGATCGAGCTCGATATGGCGTTGTACTGCTCGCGAACGAGATCGACGATGTTGCTCGAGTCCTCGCTGAGCTTGGCCGCGTACGAGCCTTCGATGTGCTTGGTGAGGGCTTGGTAAACCTTGATCTGCTCCTCGGTGACGGCCCATATGAGGTTGACCGAGTTCTCCTTGACCTTGAGGTTGATCTGCGATATGCTCGGGTAGTCCTGGAGGGTCGAGTGGGTGTACAGGCCGTTCCTGTCGAGGTGGCAGCAGCCGTCGTTCGGCTTGACGATCCCGCTGAGCTTGCCGTCACCGGCAAAGTGGAACCCCGCGTCTGTCGAAAAGAGCAGGAGCTTGCGCGCCTTCTCCCGCCACTGGATCTCGTCCCGGCAGACTATGGCCTGCATTATGGCGTCGAAGCCACCCTCGGGGGCGTCCAAGTTCCCGGAGACCGGCGCGTCGTGCACCTCTTTCTATACATACCGTAACGTTGTTGCTTTTTATTCGCAAGCATAATTATCATGTACTGTATACATATGTACAAAGAGATGTCGTTTACCGCGAATCTTTGGGTGTTCTGGGACAGCGGCATGTGGTTCCTGTAGCCGTACGGAGCAGCGCAACCATCGCAGGGCTCGAGCAATCTGCGACAGGAAAGCACAAAATTTATCGAGCTCACGATACCCCTTTTTCCAATTATTATTTGGCCGAGTACTCACGCTTTCGGGACCATGCTGACGTAGGGCATGACGACCTTGTCGACGAAGCTGCCAAAGCCGAGCCTGAAGTTGCTCGTGATGTTGCTCATGCTCTCGACGAGGAGTTGCCCAAGGTCCGACAGTTTCTGCTTGTCGTCCTTCATCGAGTTGGACAGGTCCATCAGGTAGTACAGGTCCACGGGGTAGTCCTCAGCCTGGGCGTACTCGATCTTGATCTTTTGGGCCTCGTCTGCGAGCACACATCATCGTCAGCACGGTAAAAGGGTTAAAAGGGTACACGGTGTATAAATATATTGGCCTCACTTATTCGGAGCTTGAGGTTTATCTCCTGTGGGTAGAGCTGGACGGCCTCGCTCCTGTCGCTGGCCGACGCGCTGCTCCCACTTTCTCCCTTGACGTTGACGCTTCCGCTGGAGGATTGCTGACCACCCGCCTCCCAAGCGATGCCCTCCTCCCTACCGGGGTTTATGGTGTAGCTGCCCTTCCACAGCTCCTTTTGCCGCACTTTGATGTACACGTTGTCCGGGTTGAAGGTGTAGTTGTCCGGGCACTCCTCGGAGATCCTCGTGTTCACGTGCGGGAGGAAACATCTTTTGTCCTCAAAGTTCTGGGGGTGAGGTAATGGAAGTGAAACTCGATGTTTCAACTGGGGAAAGGGGTGACGGGGGTTGGACAAAAAAAAGAATGAAATATACTCACGGGCATGGAGCACCAGGCGCAGCTCGGCGTTTGGATGCACTCGTGGCACGATTGCTTGCTGATACAAGCGTTCGTGCCAGTCGGCTTTGATGTGCGCTGGGCCATCAGGCTGGTACTCGTCCATGATATCAGTAACAGCGACAGGAACCACCTCGAGCTGCGACTCATTCCTGCGGTCAAAAGATTCGTCTATTGGTTTTTTTTTTTTTTTTTTTTTTTCAAATCAACTTGATTGCGTTTGACAAACGTATTGTTTGTGTTCGAGTGATTATTGTTACTTTTGGCTACGAGGGAGAAAAAGCGTTTGTCTATCTAGTGAAAAGTATTGCGGGATCGGAAGTTCGGGTGTTAAGATAAATACAAGAATATTACTCGTGCAAGTGAGCGATGAAAAAGCGAGCCGAGAGAAAATTATGATCCTTAAAAAGCTAGCGTGAGCAATGTGTTTTGAGTTAACACTCGCATATACTTGGAGGAAAAAAAAAAATTCCTCGACACGCTGTTCACTATACTGTGGTCTATACATCTATATACGTACAAAGTGGCACGTCTTACTCATTGGGCTAAATTTATGGGATTGATCGATTGAGTAATATATTGACGAAATAAAAATGGGGCGAATCAAGAGAACACATTACCTTTCATTGCTCATGTTAATGATCATGCAGCTGCTCATTGCCAAACACAAGTTTAAAGAAGCATTCATTTTCATTGCGTAGCTGTTAGTGTTGTCGGTGGATTTTTGTTTTTTTTTGTTTTTTTTTTGTTTTTTTTTTTTTTTTTTATTACTCACGAATGAGCTGTACCATGTTTACGCGACTCCTCTGAAATGTCAAATTATTCGAGTTTTAAGTTGTCTCATCATGCGCTAATTAATTTGCTTCCAGTTTTTTTTTTTTTTTTTTTTTTTTTTTTTTCATCAGTGTATATAAATACGACTCTCGGGAGCAAAGTTAGACGCGCAACTGGACAGCGAAACAAACGGTAAGCTATTATTAATGCACTGACTCAGATTTTCTTGGCAGCTTCCAGCTGGGCCTAATGTACAAATTTACGTAATCAAAAAAAAAAAGGATATTATAGTTAGAAAAATATAAAAGTCATTGGGTTGAAGTGACCAATGGGACGTGTGTGTAAAAAAACACCGTATCAAAATAAAGCTCGAACGATTGTTTTGAAAATGAGTTGGATGATTGATCGCTCGGCAACAAATAACATGAATCAGCCGTGCCATTAAGATATTTTCGCAAGCAAACGGTCAATTAAAATTATCTCAGCTGTACAAGTTATTCAACAATTTAATATCGAAGCAGAAAAGCACCCATTGCATTGGTGATTTTCCAGGGTGTAATTTCAAGAATCAGTCGTTCGCCAAAATAAGCACTTTAACAAACGAGCCCGGAACCCCAAGTTAAAGGAGTCGATGACTTTTTTTTTTTTTTTGTGCGCAGTCCATAAAATCGAAACCCCTCATCCCAGCGTCTTACGTAAACAAGCAAGTATCGATTAATCGGCGCGAGATATCCATCTGCCCGTGAATGCAGCCGAAAGATTTCCAAGACGCGTGTGTCCGTCTTTGCTGTAGGTGTTGAGATAAAACCCGATCACCCACGCACATACGACGAGAGCGTTGCCCAACCCAGGCTTCAAACGGGCGTCTCTGGCGTAACTTTGTCCGCAGGTGAGATTTAAAAATCAGAGGCGGGGAGAATTGCGAAATGAAATTTTTCCGCGAAAACCAGCGGACACGTGACGGTATTGGAGAAGCGAGGCGCATGCTGTCACCGCCACTTGCAAAATACCCTATTGATCGGACCCCCGAAACTCTCTAGTATACATCTTGCGGATGTTTGGACTCGATCGAATCGATTAAGCTTCGATAATAACAGAGCCTTTTTTTTTTTTTTTTTTTTTTTTCACACAATCCGAAAAAACGACTCGGGAAGGAGGTGGGATCAAACGAGGAGTTTCCGATGATTGTATAAGTCATATAATGCATTTACCAATTTTATCCCAACGAGTCACGTAGCTGTGCCAACCCATGACAAACGCTTCACGGTCCTTTTGATTTTCGAAAAAGCCAGCGGCACTTGCCGGATGCACACACTCGCGGAAAATATAGGGAAACACAGCAAAGTCCCGAACAAGGGTTGAAAAAAGAAGAAAAAAAAGGGTCACATGCACCGGAGACCCATACACAGGCAGCAGCCCATCGTTCAACCCGCGAGGTGATATTAGAAGAGCAAGCCCATCGGAACACACACGCACACGTATAGATGCACGTCCCGTGAGAGAGGGAGAGAGAGATAATATGTGCAGAAGAAGAAGAGTGGAAAAACGGGCCAGACCGGAGCACAATAACCAACGATATACACGTATGTGTATTTCCGGCGAGACTCCGTCGGCCTCGGGCTTACTTTCTTCTCGCTCCCGTCGAGAGCGGTGGGGCCGTCGCTTTCGTCCTAGTGATCCAACGTCGCGCTGCGCCCCTTTTTCTTCGATCCTCCAAACGCCGCGCCCTCGACCATACGCACCTCACCCTTGTTTGTCGCTCGAAAAATCAATTCGACTCACAGCTCGCGGGAAAAACGGAAGGGGTGTTTTTTTTTTTTTTTTGACACTTTTTGTCGCGTCGCACCGGCAGGAAAAAAATTTTATCCGCACTCGGGTCCGTTCACGGAGCACCAACGCGCCTCGGAGCCCAAGAAACTCCGAGCGATCTCCTCGGCGATCGCCATATAAGGTAACCCACGCGCGGCTCCCCTGTACACTACCTACTAGCGTCTCTCGTTCTCCGCACGCCTCTCCCGCGACACACAGCTCGCGTGGGTATATATATATATATACAAGTGTTATTCGGTAAGTGATGTATAATACCTATGCTCGCTGTGCCAGCAAAAGATATATATTTTATTTGCTCGTGAGGGAGAGAGAGGCCGAGCTGCGTGCACACGCTTTCGAGTATTTGAGATTATACACTCGCACGCGATGTATTTTATGGAGGTACGAGGGGCCTCGGCACATGAATGAACCAACTATCGTTGAGCCGGAGTGTGTTTGCGTGTGTCGCAGTGGACCATCTGGGGATTACACTGTAATGGCTTTCCCTGCGGGGGTGTACGTACGTGTGCCTGTGTGTTTGTTCAAGTGGAGGCGCTGCGCCTTTTGGCTTTTTCCCTGTGTACGCGTGCGCGGGTGGATACCATGTGGGTGTCTATATAATATATGCATATTATAATATATATGCCCTCGGAAGAGATTGTTGCTCGGTAAGTTGTGGAAGGGGATGACCGGGACGTGCTCTCGGATTTTTGTCGAACCGATGGGGTGGAAGGGTGGTTTTCCAGTTTTTTTCGGAGGAAAGATCGGTAATCGGCATGTGCCTACGTGGGTAAATTTTTCAAACGCAGTCCTTTGACAATTATTTGTTTTACGTCGACAACATTTTAGATTTATCTTTTTGTCATACATTGTGCCAATATGTGACGTATGCGCTTCTACCATCAGGGATTGCTGTAAGCTCATTGGCAATTCATCGGTACCTAATATCGTTAAAAATGACGCGTTACATTGACGCTAGTTTAAGAAACAATAGTCCTACCCTATACATACTACATTATTTATGTTCAACAATCAATAATGAGCTTTCAAAGGGCTTACAGGGGATTTACGTTTGTCGAATTGTTACAAGCTGCGCCAATTCATTTCGTTGTGGCTTTTATCAACTTTGATTTTGCCACGTTTAGAGTTTTTACAGTGTTCCAGGGTAGCCAACATACGCGCAAGATACAGAAAATCTGAAACAAGGTTTGAGATAATGATATATACGTATGTTATTTTTATACTTAAAATTTTTAAAAATGTAAGTTATTTATTTTTACTTACCTGTTTAATAATAATGACTAACATACATGTAGTAAAAGTAGTAATAAACATGAGGTGCTGGGTATCTGTCTTGATCATTTGGAGATTTTCGTGTTTTCATGTTGTACAAAATTGCGGGAAAAAGACTTTAAATTCTTGGTGTGGGTACAGGTATAAAGTAAAGTACGAGAGTTTTGTTGACACTACAGTGACATTTCGTTTGAAATTACGTTTACAATTGTAATTCACATAGATTACAATGAGCAGTACGGTTGAAATGGATCAGAGCTCGGTGATGAGCTCGTTTTACGAACCCCCGGAAGAATACGATGAAAAGAAAACGCTAGCGTTGTACGAAAATCTAAAACAGGTGAGGTTATGGTTGACTTTTTTTTGGGTAATATATCGTGTGTTGTAAAGTGATTGTCTTTATTTTAATTTTTACTTCGTTTTCAGAATTTCCGAGAGATTAACGGGATTCTCGGATCTATTGACAAAGGTATGAAATCTCTTGAAAAACAATCTGTGCTAACTGTTATGTTGATAGAGAAAATCAAAACTGCTGAGACGGAAAAAAGTGATAATTCAACCCAGGAATAAATTTATTTTACTGATAAAAATAAAAATAATATTATTATAGTAATTTAAGATGATTAAAATATTTTTAATAGTATGTATTTTTTGATTTCATTATTTTTACCCGTATATGAACATTTAGAAATTTGCTTATCGGCGCACGGAAATCTGTAACGGACAGGTAACCGTTAGTCGGTAAGGTTCCACCCTACCTTGAATCACAATGCAGGTTTGCCGTTATTTGAAAATTAAGTAGGTACACAGCATAACTATTATTACACGAAAAGCAGTACGGAAAATTCGTGGCTTATTTATTTAATCCATTGGGTAGAAGCTCATCCTTAATAATAGTCAATAAAAATATATATTACCATGTACGCAAATCATTAAAAGCAATGAGTGGATATGTATCATTAAAACGCAATCGTACATCAAATGAAAATCAAATGACGATGATAGGGTTCTAATTCTGATTCTCATAAATCATAGCTGTCGTAATTAAATCCTGAAAAATCGAGCAATCCGAGCGACGCTCGCCTCGTACCGTAGACCGATTAATTGGGAATTTAATTAATATACACGCTCGGTATTACAAGCCACGAAATCGGGGACGCGTAAAAGGTAATTTTACACACCAGTAGAATTCAGCACGGAATTCGAGTGGCAACTATAATACCCACCAATATAAGTACGTGTCGATAGAGGTACAGAGCGAGATCAACTTTTCCATCCTGTCGTGTTCTCTATCCCGTGGATGGGCAGACACCGATGAACGCGAGCCGCTACCGATCGATTTGCGACACCCCCCCATATAATCGCACCCAAAGGCAAGCGACCGTTTGCTCCCGAGCGTAAATCCAAATAATTGAGCGGCTCTTTTTCGCCCTTTACAAACTAACGCCAGCATCTAATTATACTATGGTCGATGGACGCCGCGCCCGTTCGCCGATTAAATACACACGCGTACGTGGTGTGGTCGCCGCCGTCCGTAAGCGTGAAATTTCGAAAGTCAATCTAGTTGGTAATTCAAGGGGATTATCGATCTCAGATCGCCCATGTGTTCGCGCACAGCCTGGATATATCGGAGGTGCGCTATTTCCTCCCTCGTAATGATCTTGTTTGGTTTCCAATTGCTTTTGAAATTGATCGACCGCGGCGTTACTTTTTTCTGTTTTTCCCCGGCTTTTTCGGTAATCTTTTCATTGGTTCTTCTATCAATTTTTGTACCGACGACGCATCTTTTGGAAACATTTCACTGGGAGTTTAATATTTTTCTTCATGTCTCGTGGTAAACGACGCCAAAGTTACCGCCGACGCGTCGAGATTTAATGTTAAAAACAAGCAACTGATCGATATCACGTGAAGCGTTAAATAAATAAATATGGCGACCGGAGTCACGTAGAGCAGGTACCCATAGAGCACGTGAAAAATAAAGTAAAAATGAAGCATCCAATAATAGGTAAGAAAAGTTTGACTTTGAAGAGTCCATCGAAATGATGTGGAAAAGCTGTGCCGCGTGTCTGTAAACCAGTGCCCTTTGATTACGTGACCGCAGTATTGGATATATATATACACAACACGGTTGCCCTTTGATTTGTGCCTCTCCGCAGTTCGCAAATACGTTATCCTTTGATGGCTGTCATTATACAGTAGTGATTCGACCGGTCGCTCTCGAAACATTACTCCTCGATTGGCGCGCTGTTTGCTCCTTACCTCGACTCTACTTTGTGAGCCAATGGCCACTACACGTGGCGTACCATTTTATTACACGAGACGATCAAACTTGTTAATATCCGCACGATAACGGAGCGTATGGGTTTAAAAAGTTTCCCCGTAAAAACCCTCGAGTTACTTGCAGCGCTCTCCCGCCTTGCTTCAGCCTTTCCTTCGCTCTACGCTCATGAAACAACAATCAAAATTGAATCTTAAGAGTGTACCCATCTGACGCACAAAACGGCAAATAGAATTACCTCCTGTAACTCCACGGCTGCCGGATGAAAATTGCAAAAGCACACGCGTGCCCAATCCCCTCTTCGGAATAATAAGTTTGGCTGTGGAGGGTAAAGAGGCTCGTAGCGTCGTCGCACCAGAGAGAAGAGGCAAAGAACTGTTGGTTGGAGGCGCGCGTGTGTAAATGGGGACGCACTGTGCAACTGACAGGGAAATAATGCCCCTCCCCGTATACTCCTCCTTGTGTGCGGCTCATCGCTCCTAGATGTACTCGACCGCGGATGCAGGTATACAGTACGACGGGCGCTGCGCTGACGCGAATCGTTTCACGAGCACACTCGGACTCTTCATGAATCCTCGAAGGGATATTTTTTCGAGAGAGCCCTCTTTGTCCCTCTGTTTCTCCCTCGCTGATTGGAGCTTTTCTTGAGTCGAGCACCTCGAAGGGCAAATTTTTTTTTGTAGCACGGAAATGGTGTTTATTTTTTTTCTTTTGATTTTCCTGGTGTACCGGATCATTCGAAAAGTTTCCAGGCGGATCCATCAATAATTCGCGCTAGCGGGAAAACTAATGCCCCTGCATCCATCTTTTCCGCGTTTGTTCGAGCTTTGCGCGAAAAGTCTCAATCCGGGCACGGGATTTCCAATCAGTCCGCGAGAGAACGAATGGAGCTTTCATTGTGAATGGTAAATCACGCGGGCTGCAAGCTTTCTAGCACTTTGCGGAGTGAAAGTTTAAAAATCAACGGCCGAAACGTTTTTCGGTGATTTTGAGCGGGAAATTCGCTGTGACGGCAGGTTTTTTTCAAAATTAAACTCCCCCCAACCCCCAGTGGTAATGCGTCGCTTCCATGAATGTAAATTGAGCCCCAAAACTAAGAGTGTTTGATTAATACTTACGATTAGCTTTGCGGCAGAAAAAGTTTTGCTGTGTATGTAAAATGAAACATCGGAACGGTGGTGACGTTGACCGAGTGACACTCGGACCGAT